CTGATTCTTATATAACTCATCCATTTTCACCGCATGCCTTCTCTCTGCCATGTGCTCTCTGGTCATCTTGCCCTGGCCCCTTTCTCTTCTCTTGCCCTCTCTCTACTCCCACCCTCTCTCCTGTCATGGCCAGGTCTGTTCTGCTGGCCATGTTCATTCAGCCTGGCCATTCTCACTGTTCTTCTCAACCGTACGGTGGATCGGTCACGTCCTCACTTCATCTCTCTCTCTCTCTCTCTCTCTCTCTCTCTCTCTCTCTCTCTCTCTGTGTGTGTGTGTGTGTGTGTGTGTGTGTGTGTGTGTGTACTTCTTGTCCTGGCTAACTGGGATTGTCTAACTGACTGCTGACAGACAAAGACTACCTGTGGCTGTGCCTGAGGTCAGATTCTAGGTTTCACTTTACCACTAAGCTACATGCAAATTCTCCTCCACAAAGACTTTCTCTTTACCAGGCTCCTCTACCCCAGCTACGCCTCTGTGCTCATGCTTAGCTGGCCTGCACCACCCGGTTGATAGGTCAGTTTAAAGCGAATCCCTCCCTGTCCCATCGATGACCCTTGATATCCTAATTCCTTTCCCCTCTGCCAGACACCTTAGTCAGGCAAGACCTCTGTTAAGTTGGAGACTGGGGCGGTGGCTCAGTAGGCACTGCAAGCACAAGGACCTGAGTTTGAGTCCCAGAACACTTTTTTCCCCAAAAGTGTAATTTCAGGGACAAGTGTAATTCCAGGGCCAAGGAGGCAGGGAGGGGGTGTGGCTTGTTACTCTTATCTACTTGAGGAGCTCAGGACAGTGAGACATCTGTCTCTGAAGCTTGTTGACAGCCCCTGAGAAATGACACTGAAGTTGTCCTCTGCCCTCCATGTGTACACACACATGTACATGTACCTGCACTCACGTGTCACTGCACATGGACAGGTACACAAAGAATCTCGCTAGGTCTATCTACCAGAGTCTCCTAAATCCCAGTGTTTCTCCAGTAATTTTCCACTCAGTGAGCCCTTGGTTATGGGTTTCATCCACCCCGGGTGTGTTCACAACGGTTTCCTTCGGAGCCCTTGCTCCGTCCTCCACGGCGCAGAATTCTCTGCACAGAAGGTGTGCCCAGCACTTTAGTGTTTTTATAATCTCTCTCACTCTGTGATATCTGCAATTCCTCTCACTCTCAAATCCCTTTCTAGTGTAGACGATAAAGCATACCATCCCCTTAGCTAACCTCATTTTAGGAATGAGAAAACAGAGGCTGAGAAGTCAGTTTGGTCAAGAAACCCATCAAGGAGGGAAAAGGAGAAAGATACAGCCTAACCAGCATCACCAAAGCTAATGCTTTTCCTTGTAACCAAGACTCAGTCCAAACACCCTCTGCCTGTCTCCCTAGTCAGAAAGAACGCCGGAGCCACGTTACAATGGAGCCACTTCAGAAACGTGTGGAAAATAAATCCATCCCAGGCACCAAATAAGGGATGATGTACCTATACACTAGGTGTCTATACATTAGGTATCTATATATTAGGTGATTATACGTTAGGTGACTATATACTTGGTGTCTATACACTAGGTATCTATGCAGGTAGTGGCTTTACATTGGTGGCTTTACATCGGTAGCTATACATTAGGTGTCCATATATTAGGAACAATGTGCCTATATATTAGGCGCCTATACATTAGGCACCTGTGCATTAGGTAGCTATATATTAAGGTACGTTCCTGAAGTGGCTGAAGATGACTCTGCTGTAAGCATAAGGACCTAAGTTCAATTCCTAGACTAGAAAACTAAAATCAAAGCTGAGACAGGTGGATAGCTGGAAACATCCCTGGACTAACGGGTAAACTCCTGGAAAGTGGAGACCATGCCTTCACAATATAAACAAAACCATGGCTGGCACCTGAGAAACAACACCTGATGGCATCCTCTGCTTGTCTATATACAATCCTGTACATATATGTGCACATGCATGCACACATAATCCTATATTCACATGTGCACATACACACATACATACGCATGCATGCACACATAATCCTATACACACATGTGCACATACATTCATATGCACACATGCATGCACACATAATCCTATACACATATGTACACATACACTCATACACACACATGCAGACATGCATGCACACATAATCCTATACACATATGTACATATACACTCATACACACACATGCACACATGCATGCACACATAATCCTATATTCACATGTGCACATACATTCATATGCACACATGCATGCACACATAATCCTATACACACATGTGCACATACATTCATACACACACACACATGCACACATGCATGCACACATAATCCTATACACATATGTACACATACACTCATACACACACATGCACACATGCATGCACACATAATCCTACACACATGTGCACATACACAGTTACACATCTGCACACAT